ATTATAGAGATCTAACAGTTATTCTAAACAATAACCTTAGGACCATAGTTAATTTTAAGGCTGCTGTTGCCAAAGGCTTAGGCGTCTTATGGGCAGTCCGTAAGTCATTTTATTAATTGGATGAAGAAATGTTTGCAGTACCATACCGAGCGTTTGTGAGGCGGTATCTGAAAGTAGGATTGAAGCGGCGAATCCTTGTTTCAAATATAAAGCGAATGTGATAGAACGAGTTCAACAGCGAAGGATTAAAACAGTTAATGGACCTATATTACGAGGACAGACTGAGACTCCTCAACCTATTTTCGTAACCTGCGTAGGTTACGAGGTGGTTAAATACTGGCTTAATGTATGTTGAACGATGGCATCAAAATTAATATTCCTTATCTGTTCTTTCTATTTGGGAATTATTAGCTTAGAGGAAGTTCAGGGAAAGTTTAATAACCGAAATCCTATCGTTTACCTCTGATTCTTCTCGCATTTGGTAGTAAATTGATGGAATTCTCTCCCCGAAATCTATATCAACATGTTCTGTTGAAAAATTCAAGGCGATATTAGATCTTCACATAACTACAAACTGCAAAGAATAATATAGGATCATTGACATCCCATCCTAACGACTGAAGACAGAATTCGCATAATATCTGGACATTGAACAACTACAGTTCTGTTTTTGGATCTAGTGCGTTACCTTGTTGTATTATGGATTCCTATGATGTCATAACAAATCAACCTGTCGTTATAGATATAGTAAGTAATATTATTTTTCACGATCATTTATACCCTATAAATCCATCTAGTAACTTATACTCAATAAAACTATCACTTATAAGTAAGGTGAAGTAAATTTTATTAGTAACAATTAAAATTCGCGTTTATGTAAATGCTTCTTTCCTAACCAAATTTCCATTGCATATGTAACCATTTATACCAGCAAGATTTGATTTGTAATACTTGAGATAACAGTAATCCAACATCAAATTGATTTTGAATACACTACGGTACATGTAGCCATAATAACAGTTTGTTAATAATCCAAATAAGAGTTACGTGGGGTCATCTTATATCTTAAGTCTGCATTATTCGTGTATCCTTGGACTATGGAGTAAGCATGCGAAATCGATTCTGGGTAATGATGGGGAATCAATAAATAAAGTAGTTAGTCTTCATCATTTGAGGTGCTTGGGATGTGTTACGTATGTTAATTCACTGACCACCCGTATGTGCGATGCTGTGTAATGTAAGAGTGAGTTTTCTGGAAGAAATTAAAGGACGGCAAAGCCAAAAAGTGGCACCAATCCATGCAGTCATTAATAATTGGGCCGAAACATGTTAATATATGTAAATTATCTTGTTTGAGTACGCGAGAGAATCGTAATCGGTTGTTGGAGACTTTGAGTGACATGGGTCAAAATATTTCGCAACCATTTTTGTCTCCTCTCAAGTTCTAAGCTTCTAAATTCCTCATAATTTTATTTTCTTAATTTTCCTTTTTTTATATCTCTAATCTATATTTCCTCAAATCGTATCTTCTATTCCTCCATTGGTACTGCTACTACCTTTGTTACTGTGGGATTCGATCCAACAGTTACATCTCTCCATGCTAATATGTTATGACAACTTGAAATGATGTACTCGCTTACCAGGTTCTACGTAGCAACTGACTAACTGACATTCTATTCTTAAGTACACAAATCGTTAAATAGTTGAGTACGATTTGGATAGGTTGGTTATCACCCTTAAAGAATATTACCTTCATAGTGAAAATTGAAAATTCATCTCCAGGAAACAGATCCATCCTTCAGAGCTGTTCCTACAATGTCGGTTACCTAATTGAAGAGGGATGGCAAAATTAGACAGATCTTCGTAACCCCACTACTGGACTGGAACGATGGAAAAAGACGGTTGTTCGCTCTTACTCTAAGTTATTTGTGTACAGAACCTACAAGATGATTGCAAACTTCCTAGGCTCCCTCTTCAACAGACAACCCTAGAACACAGTCCTGTTCAATAAATCGATGACAGCCCTGTTGTAAAAAAAATAACGATTATGGACCTATAATAAATATAGTGGTACTCATATCTATTTTAGGGTAAAGGTCTGATTATTAGATCCACTATCCAGTGGAAAACCAACCTGCTACTCGGTAGTCAAGCGTTCACAAGTTTTGCATGATCTTAAAAAAATAAAACGGAAGCTAATAGTTTAGATTCAGTCGCAAAAGTGAACTTATCCACCTTAGTTACTGCAGAAAATGTATCAATCAACAAAGGAATGAATTAAATTCAATCATGGATTTTTGCTTTGTATTATTTTTCAAATCGTGGTAGTTAAATTTCCCCTTCAACGCTGTTATTAGGAAACGGGTGCTAGGTAAGAATGGCAGATCAATAGATGAAGTGCTGAAACTTGATCGGTTGGGGTGATTGGGTCATTTGTTATGTATGCTTAACCACCGACTGCCTCGACTAGCTATGTTTTGTAGTATAGGAATAGGTTGGAAGAAAGTTAGGGGCGGCCAGACCAAAACATGGCACAAATCCATGAAGTCATTGACAAGTGGACTTAGCCATATCGGTAATTGTCGACTACCTGGTTGGGGTCCGCGAGATGATAATAATCGATGGTGAGAGACCTTGAATGACATGGCTCAAAACCGTTTGCAGTGTCGCCGGTGCATTTATTCTTTGTGTTCTCTCAAATCCTAATCTTCTGTGTTCTTCAACCCCCCTAGTTTTGACTTTCTAAACTTTTCTCACTGAATCATACTTCTTGAATAATATCTTCTAATCGTAACCTCTGTGATTACTTCTAATACCTTTACTACCTCTTCTACTATTGGATTTGAATTGACAATTATATCTCTGTGCTGATGTGTTATGGCAACATGAACTGATGTACTTACGTACGAAGTTGTACGTTGCATCTGACTGACAGAAATTTCCCCTTATTAAATGAACATCTCTAGTTGTATGTTTCAACGCATTTTACCCAGTTTTCTGCGTATCATTTTTATGTATCACATGTACAACTCAGTGTAATTGATAACAAACAATTACACCATATTTTATACTTCATGTTACTTGAAAATTCATATGAACTTTAATTATTTTCAATGCTTTTAGGGTACTGGTATATTGAAAGCAGGTTTCGCTGGAGATCAAGTACCAAAGTATCGATTTCCAAATTAGTAAGTTAATTAGTTAGTTAGTTAGTTTACTCTCTTTTTTTTAAAAAAAAAGTATTGGTCGTCCAAAACATGTCAGAGTTATGGCCGGTGCACTTGAAGGTGATGATTTTATTGGTCCTAAAGCAGAAGAACATCGTGGTTTATTAAGTATACGTTATCCTATTGAACATGGTATTATTCGTGATTGGAATGATATGGAACGTATTTGGGCTTATATATACGGTAAAGATCAATTGATGGTGAATAGTGAAGAACATCCAGTTTTATTGACTGAAGCTCCGCATAATCCGAAAAAAAATCGTGAAAAAATGGCAGAAGTATTCTTTGAAACTTTTAGTGTACCTGCACTTTATATTTCAATGCAAGCAGTGTTAAGTTTGTAAGTTTTTTTGATTTGATTTGATATGAATAATTACGCGTGTGAGTCTATTTTTTTAAAAAAACCAGCTTATTAATATGAACTCAAATGCCCTGGTATGGTCAAGAATAATTAGAATCCACTCTCCCTCTTGAAATTCTATTATATATGACCACGTGTTTATAGTCGCTAATAGGGACGTTCTACTCACTATCTTTTCGTGGCGGGGTTGTTGTTTAAGAGTTTTGGATGCTTAAACCACGCCAGTTGGTACGTGAGAGCTGAAAAGCCCATATTCTAAACTATCGGTTCACTTAATCCCCAGCATCCTCAGCGAGAAAATAGCGTATGGACCAGTTGTTGGTCACTGATTACCATAGGACCTCCACTATTAATGTTTTTCAATTGCCTTGTGGATTAGACCTGTAGGTCAAATGCTCCATTGGCCTTGGTTTGGTCAGTCAGTCAGTCATTCAAATGCAACGTAGAACTTTGTACGTAAGTACATCAGTCCATGTTGCCATATCACATCAGCACAGAGATGTAATTGTCAATTCAAATCCAATAGTAGAAGAGGTAGTAAAGGTATTAGAAGTAATCGGAGAGGTTACGATTAGAAGATATTATTATTCAAGAAATATGATTCAGTGAGAAAAGTTTAGAAAGTCAAAACTAGAGGGATTGAAGAAACCAGAAGATTAGGATTTGAGAAAACACAAAGAATAAATGCACCAGCGCCATTGTGAACGATTTCGAGCCATGTCATTCAGCGTCACTAACCATCGATTATTATCATCTCGCGGACCCCAACCAGGTAGTCGACAATTACCGACATGGCTCAGTCCACTTGTCAATGACTTCATGGATTTGTGCCATGTTTTGGTTTGGCCGCCCCTAACTTTCTTCCAACCTATTCCTACACTACAAAACAAAGTTCGTCGAGGTAGTCGGTGGTTGGGCATACGCAACACATGTCCCAACCACCTCAACTGATGAAGTTTCAGCACTTCATCTATTGATCTGCCATTCTTACCTAGTACCCGTTTCCTAATAACAGCGTTGCTCACTCGGGTGTCCCACGATATACGAGCAATGCTTCGAAGACACCTATGATCGAAAACCAGTAACCTACCAATATCTTCTACTCTGACTGGCCATGTTTCACAGCCATAAAGTAAGACGGAGCGAACTACTGCGCAGTACACTCGTCCTTTAGTCAGCAAATGGATATCTCGCCTACGCCATAAATGACGCAGGTTGCCAAAAGCCTAATTAACGGTTTACGATATGGTTTTCCTATTTTACCAATGAACTCTGTTATTTTGCGATAAATACAATTTGGTTGCCTTCACCTGTGTGCTTCTCCTTCACTACACAACTACACTTAAACTTGAAATTTATTTGTGAAAAAGAAATTAAATACTTCCTTCAATCAATCAATACTTTATAATACTTCGATCAGTTCGTGATACTCTTTAAGTTTTTATCGAATTATTTGTTAAATTATACAAGCCAAAATATGAATGAATTAAAAATGTTTATTTTCTATTTTAAACCAAAAAACTAAATATTAGATATTCAACAGGACGAACTACTGGTGTTGTATTAGATTCAGGCGATGGTGTAACTCACGCTGTGCCAATCTATGAAGGTTATGCTCTTCCACATGCTATAGAACGTACAGATTCAGCTGGTCGAGATGTAACACGTTTTTTACGTTTATTGTTACGTAAAGAAGGTGCTGATTTTCATACAACGTCGGAATTTGAAATTGTTCGTCAAATTAAGGTAGGAAGGGTGTATTTTGTTATTGTTTAACTGTGGTGAACTTTTGTGTTTTCTCTCGTTTTTAACGGTTTCTATTCTTTAGTGTAGAAGATTGTGAAAATGGTTTGAGTTTGATTGGAATTATGCGTCAATCAGTGTTAGACCACCGTTGGAGACCGGAAAGCATTGAACGACCGTTTCGTTCTAGTGTGGGACTTAATAGCAATGCACCTGAAGTTAGAAACCAACACCGTTCGATGCTGGCCTAGTCAAGAAGTTAAATGTTCATGCGCGATATTGAAGCTCCTGGGTTTGATTGCCGGTTGTCTAGTCGTGGGTACGCACTACTGATGAGTTTCATACTAGGACGAAACGGCCGTCCATTACTTTCAGATTCCCAATGATGATCTAACACTGATTGGTTGATCATTTCAAATGGGATTCTGCTATATCAGGAAGAAGCTTAGAGGAATGGTAACTTCCAGGCCTAATTTATCAGTCAATCAGTCAGTCAGTTACAACATAGAACTTTGTACGTAAGTACATAAGTTCAGGTTGCCATACCACATTGACACAGAGACGCAACTGACAGTTCAAATCCTATAGTCAGTCAGTCAGTCAGTTGCAACGTAAGAACTTCGTACGTATGTACATAAGTTCAG